TAATCGACATGTACAAAGGGGTAAAACATTAGTAAATATAAATCTACCAGCACGACATGCATAAATCTTCCACTAAATCATGTATAAATCTACCACGAACATACATAAATCTACCAAATCATAACATATCCTTACAATGAGTCCAAATCGTTATGTCAAAACATATGAGACATGGTTTGGCAGTATAATGGATTTAACACCACCTACAAACGTGAACCAAGAAGGTTTGCTGCCAAATGTTTTCAGCGTAGAAGATTTTTCAAGATTTGAGTTCTAATATCGTGTACTTTCTACTGTGTAATATGAATCAATACTTCAATCTTGATGTACTTCATTCAGTGAACATCTCTAAGTACTTTCTATATGTACTTTTTTTAACTTTTGTGTCCACTAATATCATCAAATTTTCCAATGCAATGAACGAGTGTTTAACAGTCGAAATACAGGTTTCTCGAACCAAGATGGGAATGCAGAGTGCTACTGCAGATCTGTTGCTTAATGTTTTCAAAGTAGAAAAATTTCCAAACTGCAGGTTCAAACACCCATTAATGTGTTGCCATGAGTGCTACCTTTTTCTTCAGTACCAACTGCTTAGATTTCAGTTTTAATAGCGTCTATTTTCTACTGTGTAATATGGATCGCTGCATCTATCTCTATGCACTTCGTTCGTTGAACATCTCTAAGTACTTTCTTTAAGAAATGCTTCTCTATGTACTTTCTATAAATTTTCAAATGTAATGAACGAGTCTTCAACAATCGCTATAGAGGTTGAATCTCTTCACTGCAATATTCGCATTCTTATCACGTCCAAAATCAACATCCCACTGATCAACATTTGATTTCAACGTTCTTCACCGTCCAATACCACATGAAAAGTCTACCAATACGCAATCACGATCTGTTAAAAAGCCAACTATCTACCAGCACATAGGAAGTCTACCACCACGTAACACGATAAATCTACCAATGATGTTATTCTGGTAATTATGGAAAATATAACTCTATCACTACGAAAATGAAGTAAATCTACCACAACAGCAAAATAACTCTACCAGGAATCGTTGGCACTAAAAACTCTACCATCAACAAAATAACTCTACCACCAAGTAAATACAAAATAAATCTACTAGGATTAACAAAAATCTACCACCACAAATACTAAGTCTGCCAAATGAAAATAAATCTACCAAGTCCAAAAACAAATCTACCGCCATTCAACGTCAATGAACGTAAAAAGTCAACCAATCACCCTCTGGTAGGACGAAAACAAAAAATCTTCCACAACATATTTTTATGTCTACCAAGTTCCCCAACAAATCTACCGTTCAAGAAACAACTCTACCGTTCAGAAAAAATCTATTGCATCATAAGCACTTCACCGTCAACAACAAGTCTGCCACACGAAACAAATCTACCGGCAAAAAAAAAATCTACGAGCTGTTGACCAAACGAAACAAGTCTACCGTCAAACAACTCGCTGACGTGGCAAATAAAAAGTAATGGCACAATCATAAATACTGTTTTTGTTATCAAAGGCTCGAAGGGCATAATCGGTACGCTAGGTTAGTTCAGAATTTCAGCTATTCTGACGAATACCCCTATTTAAAAGAGTATTCTAGTAATCCTCCCTCACTAAAATCATAAAATCGTGTTTTTCCGCCGTAAAATTAAGTTTTTCCGATAAAACCGTAAAATTACATTTTTCCGCCAAAACCATAAAATTATGTTTTCTGGCTAAAACCATAAAATTGCATTTTCTGGCCAAAACCATGAAATCACGTTTTTCTGCCAAACCGTGAAATCGCATTTTCCCGTTAAAACCAAGAAATCGCATTTTTCTAGCAAAAACCGAGATATTTCGTTTTCCTGTCAAAATTGAAAAATGACATTCCGGCCAAATTGAGGATTGCATTTTCCATTTAAAAATCAAGAAATTTTATTTTCCGTTAAAACTGAGAAATTAGATTTTCCCGTCAAACTGAAAAATTGCATTTTCCTATTAAAAACTAAGAAATTTTATTTTTCGTTAAAGCTGTAAAATTTTGTTTTTTCCGTCCAAACTAAGAAATTGCATTTTTCTACCAAACTAAGAAATTTCATTTTTCCCTTAAAAACAAAAAAAAAAATCATTTTTTTCGTTAAAACTGAAAAATCACATTTTCCCGCCAAAGATGAGAAATTTTGTTTTCTCGTCAAAAATGAAAAATTGTATTTTCCCGCTAAACTAAGAAATTGCATTTTTCCCTTAAATATTGAGAAATTTTATTTTTCCGTTAAAACCAAAAATTGTATTTTTTGCCAAAACCACTAAACCGTAAAATCGTACTTTTCCGCTAAAACCAAGATATCGCATTTTTGTGTCAAAAACCGAGAAATTGCATTGCCGCCAAAGTGAGAAATTGCATTTTTCCGCTAAAAATCGAGAAATTTTATTTTTCTGTCAAATCCAGAAATTTTGTTTTCGCGTCATAACCAAAAAATTTGTGAAGACATAACCATTTAAATGTAAATGTAGATTTTAATTTATAAATTTATATAACATGATCTTTTTGTATATTTCTCCTCTTTTTCTAATTCAAATTTGTGAAGAGAAATCTACTTAAATGCAAATTTGAATTAATTTATGAGTTTATGTGAGTAAAATCAATTTATAAATGTTAAAAATAATTATTTGGAAATTATTTGGTTAATAAATATATTTTTGATTAATATTTAAAATTAGTATAACTAAAACAAAAAATAAAAAATGATTAGATAAAAGCATAGGTATTTTATGCATGTTTTTAGTAAAATCATTTGGATAAAAATATAAACTAATAAAATAAATACATTTACATTCAAATGAATTATCTAGATAGAAATACAAAAATGCACAACACTAAACAAACATCAACTAAAAGGAGTAGGTGGATGACCATATGAGTAAATCATCTAGATGAAGATGACAACTGATCCAACAAACAGGGCCTTAACCAATTTTTATATTATAATTGGCTTAAACCGGAGACTATAACCGACCAATTCTGGTTTTTTGCTTCTACATGTTGCTGCATCTCATCTCTCGTTCTTTGTAGATAGTGTTAGAAAATAGTGATTATCTATCTTGTACCATCTCATAGATACCTGTTTAATCCATATTATAAGTGGACACTAAGCTTGATTATTATTTTTATTATCATAACACATGTCATTAGCTCTCTGAATTTGTAAAAGTTGTTTGTATATTTCCTCCACTATAAATAAGTGATTATAGAAGACTAATAAATTACACAAGTTGTATACACAAAAGAAAGAAAGTAAATACAAAGTCTTTCTTTCTCTCATTCTAATGTAAGGCATCCCTCTCTCCTCTTTATATTCAACATGTTATGAGCATGAATTGCTCTATCCAAAACTTTGAAGGTATAATTTAAATTATATTTATAAATTTATTTATTATTTATTTATAGAGTGGTAGATTATATCTTTTCCTTATTTAAATTATGGAGTGGAAAGATTAAGCCTCCTCCTAATTTATTATGGAGTGGGAGTTTAAAAATCCCATCTTTGTTTACAGAATAGAAGTTTTTGAACTCCTCCACAATTGTATTGTAGACTGTGCATCTTCATATTATTATAATTTATTGCTTTTAAATTATTATCTTAAATTATGTATTTATAATGATTCAAAGATTTCAATGTTTTACTAAATGAATATTGATTAAATTAAATGTGTTAAGTTTTTGTTATTCAGAAATTATGTCAAACTTGACAAAGCTCGAGATCGCCGCCCTTGAATTATGTGGAAAGAATTATACGACTTGTGCGATAGGTGCAAGAATGTATCTAAAAGGAAATGGTCTCTTGAACATCATCAATAAGTCAAAAACGACTTCAGATGAGAATAAGGCGAAGGCCATGATATTCTTACGCCACCACATCCATGATGGTTTGAAAGATGAATACATCATGAAAAAAATCCTACAAATCTCTGGCAATCACTTAAAAAAAGATTTGATCACCAGAAATATGTGATCTTACCAAAAACCAGATACGAATGGCTGAATCACCGGTTCCAGGATTACAAAAATGCGAGTGAATATAATTCTGCAATCTTGTAGCGTTCACAAAAGCAGACTTTAATTGCTACACCTTCAAATCATGCAAAAATCATTGCACTTCATGAAGTTTCTAGAAAATGTGTGTGGCCACCGGATGGACACTTGTCTAATCGATGCAATAAGTAGACATTAAACTTGATTATTATCCTTATGGCATTAGCTCTTTAAATTTGTAAAATCTAATTAGAAAATTAAGAAATTACACAAGTTGTATACAGAAAATAAAGAATGTAAATACAAAGTTTTTATTTCTCTTTCATTCTAATTCAAATAAGCCATCTCTCCTTTTTATATTCAACAATAAACTATTGTTTTGAAATATATAAAATTTTGTTGTATACACAAAATAAAAATAAAAATACAAAATCTTTATGTCTTTTTCATTTTAATTTAAGTCACCTATCTCTATTCTTTATAATCAACTATAGACTATTGTTTTGGAAAATGTAGATGTTTTCAAAGTCAAAGACAAAAAAATTGTAAAATTTACGTTGTTTCGGAATTTGTTTAATAGTATTTTTGTTTAAGGTGAGCGAAACACGAGGGCTTAAACCAAACCGACTCACGGAAACCAGTTGCGGCATGAAGGCATTTTTGCGGTCTTCCAAGAGCTTCAAAAAGTCAAATTTACTCCTAATCCCGTTTGTTCTCAGTTGGGCAAATTAGTAATTAGCCAATTTAAGCAGACCACACAGGCAACAGAAACTTGGGAAAACCAGCGGAGAAAAGGGCCTCTGGTTTTATAATTTAACTAGCGGCTAATTTTATCCGCTTCTCTGTTATATAAACAGACCCGATCGAATCTCATCATCTTCATCGGCAATTTTTCACAAAGCAACAATTCTCCACTAAAAGAAAACAAAACAAAGCAATCGCAAAAAAAAGGTAAAGAGAGAGAACATGAGTTCAACGAGAAAGGCATGGTTGGTGGCGGCAAGCATCGGAGTCGTGGAGGCGTCCAAGGACCAATTAGGCTTGTGCCGGTGGAATTACGTTCTCCGATCGGTGAATCAACGTATCCGAAACAATATGAGATCTGCTTCTCAGGCGAACAGGTTCTCTTCCTCGACGTCGTCCACCGTCATCGGCGGCGGCTCCGGTAAAGATGAGAAGGCGACGCAAGCTGAGGAATCTCTCAGGACGGTTATGTACTTGAGCTGTTGGGGTCCTAACTGAAGTTTGAAGGATCTCAGATTTTTTTTCTCCGTTGAGATTTTCATTTTCCCTCCGTGGTGGAATCGAAAATTCAAAGAACCCTGAATCTGAGGAAATCAGGGAAAATCCGAATTAACGCCATTGAATTTGGAGTTTCGGATGGATTTGTTTTTGGGATGAAATCAAATGATGGATTCGAAGAGGCATATTGTTGCTTGTACAGAATGTAAATGACTATAATACGAGATCAGAGTTCTTTTTTTTTGGTTGAAACCTAGAGACAAAAGTCTCTCAAGTGTTATTCATAAAAGAAAGAAACTACAATCGAACAGAGCGTACACTCGTACACTCTGGTGCTACATCTAAATAAAGAAAACCTAATGATAATGCATAAGCATAAGTTGCCAAACTATCTGTTAGACAATTCGTCTCCCTATAGATATGTTTGATTCGAACTACCCAATCTCTTGAAATAAAGTCATAACACAAATGTATTAGGAAAGACAGTGGATGTTGATCACTTATCCTTTTCCTGTCATCAAGAAGCCAACAACAATTTCCGAATCGATCTCAATCTCCAAACGAGTTATGCACTGTTTCCAAGCTATATATAGACCGTAATATACTCTCCAGAGTTCAGCCAAAGGAACAGAACAAATACCTATATTCAAAGCAAATCCTCCTCGCCATTCTCCTTGTTTATCACATAGTACTCCTCCCGCTGTTGCAAAGCTCGTGTCTCTCTGCACCGCACCATCCGTGTTCAGCTTAACCCACCCGTTAAGTGGCGGAACCCATGCTATCTCAATATGTTCCCTCTCCTCATTAGTTGTATTCCCTCTTACTTTCGCATGGGCTGAGGTTACATCGTTCGCGAACTCTTTTAGAAAACGAACTCTGTCGCGGCACACCCCTGTTGAACCAAAAACATATCCACACCGCCATTTCTATCCCCACCATACGGCCATGACAAACACCGTAGCCCAATTACTACTCCCAATACCTCTGTATTACCGAGATTCCCATAGATCCACTCGAACAGCGTCATGTTAAAGAAGATTTGCTGCTTTCTCAATGGGACTATACATTGCCAGATTCCTGCTATTGCAGGGCAGTCCCGAAGCACATGCATTATAGATCCTTCCCCTCCTCGGCACACCTGACAAACTCCCGAATCATTCAAATGTTGGTGTTGTCATTCCATGTTAATCATGATTACTTGATGGATCACTAGCAATAAGAACACTCTTACCCTCTCTGGTGCTATGACCTTCCAGATTCGAGTGAACAAAGACTCCATATTCTGCCTCGGTAAATGATTCTTGGTCAATAAGGTGTATGCTGACTTCACTGTGAAGGTTCCATTCTGACTCCCACCCCATGATATTCTGTTTTTGATCCCCGTTATGTCATTTAGGACCACTGCCCTCAAACGTAGCTTTGTATCTGTATTCAGATAATTGTCTACCTGATGCAGTAACCAACCCGTCCTATTTCTCCAAAAATCCCGAACTCGTAGATGCACTATCTGTTCGAGAACTACTCCCTCTGCTATCTCCAGTAGCGGAATATCTAGGAGCCATTTGTCTTTCCAGAAGTGAACTTGACGACCATCTCCCACAATCCAAGTCAAGCCTAACATTACCACATCTCTGATTCCTGTGATTATGCTCCGCCAAGTGCTTGAAGCACCACCCTTCGCAGCAATTCAGGTATTCTCCTACATCTCTACGACTTTGTATTTATGGCGCAATACTTGAGTCCATAAGCTTGTTCTGTCTTGCAATAAGCGCCATCCCAACTTTGCAATGAGCGCTTTATTCATCGGTAAGGCTTGTCGGATTCCCAGTCCTCCCTCTGGCTTAGGTGAGCAAACCCTCTTCCACGATATCAAATGTTGCTTCCTCACTCCATCTGAACTCCCCCGTAGAAATGATCTCGAGATTTTGTCTAACTTTGACAGTGTTGATTTCAGCAGAAGGATCGTACTCATCGTGTGAACTGGAAGCGATGATAGGACAGATTTGGTAAGAGTCACTCGCCCAGCTAGGCTCAGAAAACGGCTCTTCCATCCTGCTAGTCTCGACGAGACTTTTTCCAGAACATCACCAAAGGTATCCTTATTGATCCTCCTTTGTAAAATTGGCATTCCGAGGTACTTTCCTAACTCTTGTGTGGCCTTAATTCCACTTTCATTACTGATTAAACTGCCTAGCTCCCGAGTGACATTCTTAGAGAAGAATATCTTTGATTTCTCCAAGCTCACTTTCTGACCCGAAGCTGTGCAAAACCTCTCCAGGTTATGTCGTATAATCTGAATCTGTGAGACAGAAGCTTCTGCAAATAAAATCAGATCATCTGCAAAGCAGATATGAGAGAGTTTTGGTCCTCCCCGAGAAACACTGATTGGCTTCCACTCCTTCTGTGCGACTGAAGACTCAATCAGGTGACACAATCTTTCTAAGCACAGAACAAATAGGTACGGAGACAGCGGATCCCCCTGCCTAACGCCCCGTGAGGGTTTAAATGGTTCCGTCTTTTCTCCATTCCATAATAGACACATAGAGGATCCTCCCACACACTCCATAATCCACCCTATCCAAGCCTCAGGGAGGCCAGCTGCTCTGAGAGTATCTTCCAAAAAGTCCCATCGAATCCTGTCATAAGCTTTCTCAAGATCAAGTTTCAACAGCATCCAACCCTTTCGTCCTTTCTATCTACGCATCGAATGTACTACTTCCTGGACGATCACGATGTTATCTGAGCTAAGCCTACCCGGAATAAAGCTTGACTGTGCGGGTCCAACTAGTTTTAGTATCACTTTCTTGAGACGCAACACCATAGACTTCGTGATGACTTTAAACAGTACATTACACAGACTAATGGGTCTGAACTGTGTAATCTTCTCTGGCTTCATGACTTTTGCTATCAACACAACTAGAGCATCATTCGTTCCACTCGGAAGACAACCCGAAGCGAAGAAGTCTAGGACAAAACGGATCACCGACTCCCCTACTATCTCCCAGCAATCTTGGTAGAATACCGGTTGGTATCTGTCAGGGCCTGGTGCTTTAAACTTACTCATACTACGTATAGAAGTCTCAACTTCCGTAGCTGAGAATGGTTTATTCAGCTCTCGCACTTATTCTTCCGATAAACCTGCAAAGCCTTCATGCGGTAAAGTTGGTACTATTTGATCCACATCGTCCATTGAGTACAGTCGTGAGTAATAATCCAGGGCCAAGCTTTCCAGTTCGTGAGGCTGGGAGACTCATCTCCCATCGTCTCCTTTTAACATCTCAATCCTGTTTCTCCTTCTTCTGACAACCGTTAAAGTATGAAAATACTTTGTATTTCTATCCCCTAGCGCCACCAACTTCTCTCGTGACTTCTGAAACCAAAGGATCTCTTCTTGTTCCAGCACAGATTCAAACTCCTTAATCAGAGTTGCCTCTCTATTCAGCATGACATCCGTTTGGCTCACATCTAGTAATTCTTGAATCTCCTGAATGTCTTTGATCAGTTTCTCCTTGCGTTGCTGTACAACCCCAAACACTTCCTTATTCCATCGCCTTAGTGTCTCTCTCAACAACCTTAGAGCTTCTGGTGTTGTAAGGCTTCCATTCCAGGATGTGAGCAACAACTCTTTGAATCCATGATGTTTCAGCCAAGCAGATTCAAAGCGAAAGGGTCTCCTCCTCGGATCACCTCTTACAGTGGGTTCAAGCTGCAAGTATAGGGGAGCATGATCCGATGACAGGAAGGGTAAGTGTGTAACCGAAGCCTCCTGCCACCTCAAACGCGCGTGTGGAGAGCATAAGATTCTATCCAACCTCTTCGCGACATAGTTATTCTCCACTCGTCCTCGCTTCCAGGTGAATTTATTCCCTCTGAATCCCATATCTATGAGAGAAAGTTCGTTCATCCAGTCCCCGAAAGCTAACGAATCTCCTAAGAGTCTGCCATTCCCTCCTGTTCGTTCATCAGTCCGCAATATCGTATTGAAATCTCCTCCAACAAGTAGCGGGCCTTCTATCCCCTGGATGATATCCTTAAGCTGGTTCCACAGTCCACTTCTTCTACTTACTGTCGGAGCCGTGTACACAGCGATTAGGTGAACAGTTTCCACCCCGATGCCCACCGTAGCGTAAAGAAACTGGTCTGACGATGAGATGACTATCAAATCCCCAATCTCTGATCGCCAAAGTATCCACAAGCCCCCACTTTGTCCCATGACATCAACTTGGAATGAATTTTCAAAGCCTAATCCCTGACAACTACGCATCGCTCTATCACCTCCCGTATGCGTTTTGAAAATAGCCAGCACATCTGTTCTGTACTTCTTCAGGATGTACCTTATCGATCTTCGAAAGTTCGGTTTGTTAGCCCTCCGGCAATTCCACAATAAGCAATTCATCATAAAATCTTTCACCCAGACCCAAAGAACTACCGGGGCGACCCGTCAGGCTGTTTTGGAGCCATCTTGCTCCTTCTCCAGGCTCGAAACTCCGCCTATTTCTTCCCGCATACATTCAGACTCCGGGACAAACGAGGAGCTCTCCTCTTCCTCCTCTTGTAATTGCATAGAATCATCAATTCCCAAGTTTCCCTCCGAATCATTTCTGAACACTCCTCCAGGACGACCTAGCTCCACCATTTCCACCCTTAGTCTTTTTCCCGATACGGAAAGGTCAAGTTCCCCCCTTGTTGGGCCAAACACCAACCCTCTCATGGGCTTGGTTACTGTCGGCTTATTCTTCGATTTCATTATACCAATGGGCCTGCGGGTACCCAAATTCTTTTCTAATAGCCCACTGTGAAATTCCCGCCTTGCACTCGTCTCCCTTCATGTCCCTGTTTTATCCTTTACTTGCTCCACACTTCTCGATATTCTCCGTATATTTTCCGGACTTTCATTTTCCTTATTTGCCTCTCGTCTAGCCTCATCTTCCCTCACATCCGAGATATCCTCTTCCTCTTCCAGATTTTCAAATCTGTTAGAGATATCGATATTTCCAGATCCCCCGATTCTCGGGATTGCCCTAATATTCCTCCCTGGTTCTCCTCCGACTCTCTCCGTCATGGTTTCCATAGGACTCGAGGCCGCCGCTTCCCTCCACCGCGCATTTCTCACTAATGTGAATCCCGTTTCTTCCTGTGATACCACATTCTGTGTCTCTCCCACCCTCTGCACTTCATCCACCACTTCTCATGTTGGATTTGCTTTCGAACAAGAATGAATTAAATGACCATACATTCCACACTTGGAACAAATGTTTGTAAGTCCTTCGTAAGAGACGAAGTAGCGCTCCTCATTCACTAGAATCGTTCCCTTCAGAGGCTTGAGGAGGTTAACCTCCACACAAACACGCGCGAAGCGGGCTCTTTCAAACTTCAACGTGGTCGAATCCACCTTGACCGGCTTCCCAAGTCCCTTAGCTATTCCCATCAGAATGGCTTGATGATAAAAGTTGAGTGGTATATTCATCAACCTTACCCACACTGGTGTTGTCGTGATTTCCTCCCTTAAAGGATCAAAATCCAGCGACCAAGCACGCACCATAAGATGGCTCCCAAAAGCTCTCCACGGGCCTCCGGTCAGAGCCGCTAGGTACTCTGCCTCGATATCGAATCGTACCATGAAAAACTGTCGGGGTAAGTCTATCACATGCATCGCACCTTTCGGCTTCCAGATTTCCCGTAGCTTTCTACTCATGGCAGCAATCTCAATGTTTTGGCTCAACACCTTCACGATTATACATTGCTTCCATAAATCATTCATCGCCTCCAATACTTCCCTTTCAATCGTGATCTCCGGCTCTCCATCTTCACCATGTGGAAACTCCACTCATACTCGCTCTGTCACGAACCGCCCATCAATCGCCATCTATGGTACCGGCATACCTCCCTCACTCGTGCCCGTCACCTTCGCTGCCCAGGAAGTGCAACCATCCGGTGGGTCTCCCAGTGGTCTCGTCCTCTCACCGATCTCCATCATGACGACATCCTGTTCACCCGTCACCGAAACCCTAGGATCGCCTTTACTTCCAACCATAGCACAACTCTTGATGGTCTTAGTCTACTACTTGTGTATATATCAACTTTGATTCCGATAAAATTAATCTAATAAAAATCAAGAGATGTATACGAGATCAGAGTTAAACTTGTAATTTTCGTGCTATACTAAAAAACTATTGTTTTTTTTTTTTTCATCAATAATTTGTTTATTAAGTTTGAGATGATAATACATAGTCTCGATGGACTATTGTTTTTTTTTTATTATTGTTTAACACCAAACATTCAAACTAAAAGACTTTGTTACTGTACAATAAAAAAAAAATTAATGAAACAAACTATATCTCCATAGGTAAAAAAAAGTATATCATCCATCAGTTTAACTGAAAACAAAAACAAAAACACAGAGTATTACTAATTTAGTAGTAAGAACAAACCATTCACCATAGTAAATGCCTTAGAGAAGAACAACACGACATGGGGACCTGCCTCTTCTTGATCCTCTTTTGAGTTCTCTTCAAGTTGGGTGATCCTCTTCTTCATGATCCTCTTTTGAGTTCTCTTCATGATACTCTTTTGAGTTGTCGACAAATATAGCCTCTGTCTCATGAGAGGCACTTGGTCCGGCGGCCTGCGCGCACATGGAGAGGTTTTCTTACAGTGACAAAATATAATGATACAAGTTGAGACTAGGGAGGCAGGCAAGGATGCTTACTTTTACGTTGTGTGCATGTTCTTCACTTTCCAAGTGGATTCTCATATTTTTATCGTCTACATATGGATAATCGCAAAGTTCGCAAATATCGACAGGGTTACCGTCCCAGGGCCACACCAAGCCAAACAACTTGCATTTCCGATATTTTGGCAATGGTTAGATCACAAGTACAAATGTAATGATACAAAGCGAAGAGTAGGAGACAAGGATGCTTACCTCCTGTCTGTGGTTTACACTCTTGAGATGGTCGATGAAATCAGAACAGTTTTCGCCAGGAAACATGCACATACTGCACCACCATTCAAATTGACAATTAAGTACGCAATCCATCTGGCCCGTTGTATCCGAATAACAAGGCCCTGAATATTTCTCTGTCGACAAAAAAAAAACAAAAAACTAGTTAAGAAACAGCTCATTCATTATATATATATATATAGCTCTTTGCTGGTTATTTCATTCAAATAAAAAAAAAAACACCTTCAAGTAAGTCTTTCCAGACCCACTTTTTGGCAGAAAGGGAGGCAAAAAAATCGGCAGGATAGGCTACTGGTTGCTCAAGATCTGGAAATGCACGAAGAGTACGACTGAAGTGCGTCTTTATACTAGTCATATACCACCATTGATCATCACCGGATATGAATAATACTGTAGTCGCAGATGGATTAGTATCTTTCCAATCAAATAATTCCAAAGAGAGTGAGCTCCAACCTGGAAAATGGAAGGCCAAGATGAGTCTAATAAAAAAAAAATAAAAAAACTATTAATGATAGAAAGATAGATGATTAACCAAGGGCGTGTCTAAGGAGGATTCCAGAATCCGAGATCGCTTTCAAGACTAGAGGAGGGACGTATTCTAGGTTGCCATAACAAAAGATTATGACTGGACTCGGACCCATGAAGTTTGCCAAGGCCGATTCTATACTCTGACGGACACAACCAGGGTCATAACCATCAGGAACCGGACAGGTGTTGATGTCCCACCACACCCCCGTCACCGGTACAACTACCAACGGAAATCAGAACCGAAATCAACCATATCAGACAGATGGGTCTTTAAACATATCAGATAAGTATTCGGAGTAGTTGACACGATTAAACCCAAACTACTTACCTTCTGCCATATCGAATCAGCCGATGGAGATCTACAGACGCAAGTTCTCTCGATCGTTTTAGGGTTTCCTTCAACTTTGGCTCTAACTGGTGACACATAAAAAAAGAAAGAAAAAAATGAAAGGAACAGAAAAAAGGAATCAATAGGAATAAAATACATATAAAGAAATAAAGAATATTTTTTATTCCTCTCCATATTTTATAAAGAATACATTTGTTCTATAATTCCTTAAATAATAATAGGAAATGAGAGAGAATAACATGAAACAAATATTACTAGTGAATAGTGAAAATTTTAAGGAATGAAGAGGAATTCATTATTCCTCCTCATTCATTTGGTCACCAGTTTGAGCCAAATGTTTGAGGGATTATCTTATCTTATTTTATTATATAAAATAGGATGAGTTATTTTATCTTGACATGCCGTTTAAATTTAGGAAATATAACTATTATTTAAAAAACAAAATAAGAAAATATAACTACAATATCAAAAAGAAATAGATTTTTTTAAAAGGAAAATAGTTATATGTTTCAGGAATTTGTTTTAAAATAAAAGTAAATATTAATCTTAAAAGAAAAAAGAAAATAATACTTACATTTGTATATACACATAAAGTTTTACTGTATAATTTTACTAGACTAAGTACTCTCTGAAACTGGAACCAAACAAATAAGATCAAAAATTTATGAATTAATAAACGTAAGAAAATAATCAAAATTATGTAAGCAGAATTGATAATTTTTATAGCATTTTTCTGAAAAACATTTGTTATGTGTTGTTTTTTAATAAACCAACCAAAAACAACAAACTATACATGTGTTTAATTTTTGTAGCTTATATACCCGAAAGCTTTCTAATTAATTTTACTTTTTTAATATTTATAATGATTTAAATTTTTTTATCTTTTCGTGTTTAATTTTATTTTAACAAATTATAAAATAGTTAATTATAAACAGTGTATATAGATATCATAATCTAAGTTCACATGACTGATTGTTTTTCATTTTTATTTTTTAATTTATTTTTACAGGTTTTAAAATTAAATATTATAAATTCGCGTATATGCGGATCCTAATCTAGTAGACTAACGAATTTCAGATTTTTTTTTCTCCTTTTTTTTAAATTTATTTTTTCAATTACATTAGAAATTGATTGTGGTTAGTACTAAAGGACAATGAAGAGAAGTTTATAATAAAAATAATCAATTTGTTCACACACCCATTGTTGGACATCTAAAATCCGGTCCCTAAACAGCTCCACCAACTTTATTCTAAATCAAAAATAAATCAATTAAATCTAGCAAATCATTCCAAAGCCTCATCTTCAAAGATGATGAGGTCAAACTGCAGTCTACTACCACCAGGGTCGCCATAAGAGCTAAACGACTCAATGGAAATATCCTACATAATCCGAGCAGACTTAACAATCAAGGGATGCTTAGCTACACGTGTCTGAGATACATGTTGAAGTTGGAAGCTCGACTCCAATAGCTATAAAAAGAGTTGGAGGCCATTATTTCAAGGATCTTTTTCTGGATATTTTTATCTAAGTCAAAAACTTTGTAACTGTTTACTAAGATTTTTCACATCATCTCCTTTGGAGAAAACCTTGAACCATTTCATATCAGATTAGTATAAAAATCTCTTTCGAGAAATATTTGTTTATAACTTGATTTTCTCATAGAAAATTTAGTCCTTAGTCCTTTTATAGTTTTTTTTGTATAAAAACACCTAAAATTCTGAATGTGAATTTTGGTATCTATATATTATCGCTGATTGTTGGGAAAAAAAAATAGATTTCTCTAACTCAAGAGTCGATCCTAAATCAGTTGGGAATAAAATAAATTCAGTCATGCAGCAACTCTCTGGAACAATCTCCCAAACGCCAATCTCACTAGATAAAAACACCCTGAATGTCGGCACCAGCCAGGCAATCGACATATCGAACCCTTGACAAATGAGAGACCTCCTTTAACCTGGGTGAGATCCATAAATCTCCCAGCAGCTACAACACAACAAAGTCGAGCAACCCCAATATCGCCAGTTCCGGCTGCGGTTTAACCAACCCCATCTAACGCGGCTGAAATACTTCAGATGCTTAACCACCTGGTCGATTATAAACACGACCATAAAGCCAGACTAGAAAGACAGGAGCGACATCAAGCCAAGTCAAGGTCCGTCAAGAGCCCTCCTCGCATCCAGCTCGACTTTTCGTTGGGGGTCGATACGCATAACACCTAGTATCCATCATTTAGGGTTGTACTTACTTCAACAAAGAAAACACGGACCTCTTCCAGAAATTTTTTTTTAGCACGGAATTTTGAGTCTCGCGTGTCTACCTTTTCACCACCAAGGCATCACGCTTCCGACTGTTCACCTGGACAATTTGTGACACCATCGCGTGCTCCAGTTTTCCAGAATTTCGTCCCAATGATGAACTCGCTGTCAATTGCACTAGGTATGCCAACTTTTGGTATACCTGAGATGGGACCTCGCCCTACTACATGATATCCATCTCCATCTCCAAAAGCACCACGTACCAAGCCGGTTTGGTCGAGATGGCTCAAATCTTCTGACTTTGCTTCGAGCTTATAGGCGGCAGCGCCTCATATTGGAGCGCAACCAAACATCACTTATAGCTGGTATAACCAAACGGAAAACCTCATAGCATTCAAGCACCAGCCAATCAGTCAGGCCCTAATATGTGAAACCTGGTAGACTGTGAATCCTTCAAAAGATTCCAATATCAAATTGGATTCATATTTTGGCAGACGAACTCAGTTAATCTACCTCGAACGTACCCATGGCGTGTGGGGTTCGCGTGGGGAAACGAGTAACCAAAGTCACGATCAGTCTATCAGGCAATGAGCTCAGCTCCTGATATCGACAGAGTGATTCGATAAACTCAACGAACTCCTTTCATCTTTCGAACTGCCAACACCTACCTTCAGGATACAAGCAAAGTTTGGATCCCAGAATACGTGATGAGAGGTTTTTAGCCTATTCAACCAAATAGAACCACTCAAACCGAATATAGTATAAGTTGTGGGTTCATATCAATCCATAGGGTCGGTTTAAAGCAATAAAAATGCAAGAGTGCTTTTAAGTCAAGTAAGCAAAATATTGTACGTCTAGCAGCCTAGACTTTCATGAATAAGCACAAATGAAACAAAACTAGTGGTACTTAAAGCAACGTTGACAAGGTAAAGTAAACAATAGCAAGAGACAATATTCAAAAAGCAATCAATAAAGAAAATAGGTCTAGGATGGGATAATCGACCTTAGGGAGCTTTAGACAAATTTATGATGTTCGAAACGCATTTAACAATGCTAATCATTAGGTATAAAACTCATTTTATTAGATTAACCAAATCTCTTGGCCATTAACTCTTTTGTTAACCGAAACCTAACTCTCATTAGTGATAGCATAATTAACAAACATGGTAATTCAATTCTATAAAACCAAAATACGCATTAAACATCTAGATCTCCCATACGCTAGGATGCATAGATCTCTTATGAGTTGTTCAAACATTCATCAAGCATTACTAGTGCATGTAAAGTCTAAACCGTGAACCAATTGATCAGTTTGGCCAAGCAATAATATCGTAAAATAAGAAAGGATTAAGGACTTAAGTACTTAAAAAACATAGATCTATCATCAGCTCCCCTAATCTATCTCATTCTTGAACCTAAAGCTAACTACTCGCTAGTTATAAGATCAACCACGAAATCCATGAATAAAAGATGGCTAAGCAAGGCTAGATAAAGATAAACAAGCAAGAAATATAAAAGGGAAGTACAAACTTCGATTAGAAATGCAAGGTCTTACAAATCAAATAAAGAATATGAAAGAGAAAATGTTTTTGGTAGACAGCAAGAACAAAATAAAGACAGATCTGAAAATGAGTAAAGAAAAGGTTGGTGGATTGTTGCACATTAGGTCAACTCGTGATGCCCTAGAGACCCCACTCATCTTGTCTTACACGTTGCAAGCTGTCCCTTTCGAAACCCACGTTTGCAGCAGTTTGACACCGATAGGTGATAGGGTCAGGTTTTACCCATATAAAACTACTGCAAGTGCACAGCAAAGCAGTTGTAGTACAAGGGGTTATCGAATCCCAAGGGAGTAAGTAAACTACACTAAAGATTTTAAGTTCGGATTAAGCTAAGCGATAAGTAATGAATGTAATGCGAAATAACTAAAGTAATAAAAGCAAGTGGGCGTTTTTGAGACTGTTCTTAAAGTTCAGAAAGCTAAAGGCGCTAAGTCAGGATAATTCGCAGGTTGAATCCGAGAGTGTAGAATGCATGCAATCAGGAATGAATTAAAACCGTCTTGAACATGAATCGCAAAGATATAACTAATCAATTCTCATTGCAGAAGTTATCTATGTCTAAATTACAGAGTTTTAAATCTCTTTGCAAACCCTAACAACCTAAACATGCAGTAATGATCAGGTTCAATTGTTCACAAAACTACTAAGCCAAATCTCTTTGTACTAGGGTGTTTTTCTCATCTAATACTAGTTCAGGTGATTAATAATGCTCTCACATCTATCAAACAACCTAGGGTTTCGAAATCCAGATGATGTGTCTAAGAAATCAATATGAATGCAAGCACAGATGAAGAACCAATGAATTTCCTAAAAGTTTTTAGCAATTCTACAAACTCTTCTTCAACCCTTGAAAAGCCCTAACTTAACTAACAAACTACTCAGACATGGTGATTTGTGAAAACATCATGAAAAGAATAGATTGCATAAAAGAAATAAGAAATAGAAAGTAAATGAGTTCAAAATCTGCTCTGAAGGAGTCTGATTTGTCTCTCCAAAAGCTCTGCTACAAATCTCTCTCTAAAGCTCTCAAAAATAATAAGATACAAGATATCTCCCAAAAGAATGGCTGAAAAACCTAATATACAAGCTAAAACACAATCTGAGGTCTTTTTGCGAATACTGGAACTTTTGGGCCAAAACTGCAATTTCTTCCCAATCTTTTAAAAACAGGC